TGTACTCTTTGTGGCTGGGCTTAAGACTGTATTGTATTAATTTTTGGTTTTGTGGTATACACCGGTAATACATGTACTCTTTGTGGCTGTGTTTAAGCCTGTATTGTATTAATTTTTGGTTTTGTGGTATACACTGGTAATACATGTACTCTTTGTGGCTGTGGTTTAAGCCTGTATTGTATTAATTTTTGGTTTTGTGGTATACACTGGTAATACATGTACTGTTTGTGGCTGGGTTTAAGACTGTATTGTATTATTTTTTTTATTTTTGTGGCAAATTAAGGAAACTATGACTTTTAATTTTGTTTTTATTTGCCATCTAAACTGTTGTGTGTAGTGTCATGTTGTTTTGTATTACTATTTCTTCATCTAACGGAAGTAGACATTCCCTGGACTTTCCCAACCAGTCCTCCTTATATATTTCTTAAGATTATCTACTTCTCATGTTAACCCACTTGCTAACCACAAAGATCACGTGAGTTTGACCGAGATGTCAGAATTGTTAAAAAAATACGAACTTGGTATAAGCCAGGCAGCCGAGTTTATTACTAACTAGAAACATGGAGAAAGTAGACATTAATGGTTCAGCGGTGTTCATATGTTACTGTTTAGCGTCCCGTCTTGACTAGGATTTGAGGAAGAAGAGTTCAGAACACAGCGCTGTAATGGTGAACTATGACACTATATGTACTGCATATTTGACTAGTTTTGTTCTGATCAATATATGTATATTTTCTGGTTTTTTTTTTCCTGGCGAAGCAAGAAGAGAATTTCAGGTGTTTAATGAATGTATCGCTATATATATACACAAATAAAAATATTAGAAGCGGCTTATGATCATTGGATGTTTTGTTCATCATTTCTTTTTGTTTTCAATTAAAATTTCAGAATTCAAAATAAACGTTTATTATGAGCCTCGATCTGGTTAACTTTCAAATTGCCAACTTGTTTTTATGTCGTTAACCATCGGTAGGAACCTCATATCTTATTACATTGATGGTAATTTTATCGTGTTTTAACCTATTACAACACTCGAGGTAAAGAACTGACGAAAATGTAGGGGGGGGGTCACTTATTTTGTATCTAAAATACATAGGGGGCTCCAGTAGCAATAAGTGGGATTAACTGTGAAATTGATTACATTTTCTTTGTGTGTTTATGTCTGAGTCGTTGCTGTTAGGGATTCTAAAACCAATAACGTCGTGGGACCACAAGCAATTTGGTGCATAAATAATTGATCAAAATGAGTTTAAAAAGACGATGGGGCTAGTCCCATCGATAATTCTAGTGTTAAAGTATTTGAAGGAGTGGTTAATTTAAAAGCTAGTACATATGATCCAAGTTTAATTAAAAAATAAAAAGAACTACGTCAAACACATTTTATTATTATTAGAGTTGTATGGTACCATTGTAATCAAAGTATCGTTTGTGTTAATCTGGCTTTTCGAAGTATCTCTCTGTTCGCACAGATTGTTTAGAAGTACGAAGTATGCACAGTGTGCTGTTGTGAGCGGTCATTAACACAAATGATGTGCATATTCTCGCAGAGCGTATAGTCTTCTGAGCCCCACTGACCGTAAATCTTTGCAGAACGTCAACAATTTCTTTATCAGTGGTGTAACAGTAGTTGATTGAGCCACCAGACACTCCTCCAGCTACTTAGTTATTGTGCAAATGTTCCTCGAGGAATTAAGAAGGATTAGCGACGGTCCCTAATTCCGCTTGAAGGCTTTCAACTGCCGTTATTTGTAGGCTGAACAGATATGAGCTTTGGATGTCTGTGAGACGCCGTTGCTGAGTTTTTGAAGGGTTTATCAACATTCTTGTAACACTGGGATCAATAAAACTGATAAGAGTGAAAATTTCCATTTGTACTGAGCATTTAGTTTACTATAATCGTCAGTCATAAATAAATAAAAGGTGGGGAACTTGTTATGAGGCTATTAGTAGTTTAATTGTACTTTGTACGGTATAGTTTTCAAATTTTTGTTTACAATTCTGAATTCAAAAATAAATAGATAATAACAGGTAGAAGACAAAGTTTTATTGTCATTAGAAAAACGATTGTCTGGTAGCTAGCCGTTCGTGCGTTGCAAAACTCCATTCACCACCAGTCCTTGCCCATAAAATTCCAGTTTGACTTTGCTGGCGCAAAGCTTATAGGGCTATTTTTGAAAAGAAAATTAAATTACTTTAAAAAACAAACAGACAGGAAACATGTTTGATATTTCATTCAATTCTGTTTGACTTTGAAACTTGAATAAAGTATGTTTTAGTCCTTTTTCTTTTTTATTATCTTGTTTTATGCTTTATTGACTGAGCTTTGAAGCTTTTTTTAGTTTTTCAAACGGTTAAGGCTAAACTACCCGAAACCCAAAATAGTGTTAGCGAAAATTTGTGTATATTTTGTAAAGTTGAGTAAATTTTTTCCAAGATTTTCAATACAATTATTATTTTTTTACTGGTAGTCTTGAAGCATACCGTATGGGAAGTTAAATAAAGGCCCAAATAGTAAATGATTGTTTGCTAATCGTTTCGAGTGTAAAATCAAGATATTTGTCATTATAGTTGAAAGATTAAATTACGATTGTACTTTTTGAAGTTTTATGAATTGTCATACTTGGATAATAATATTTTAGAAATGAAACTTCTTTCTGCAAGCATTTGTTAGTGGTAGATAACTTTCCTATCACTATACGTTGATGTTAGGGATTTTAGGGCTAGGTCACCTTCTAGAAGCCTCCTTGGTGAATGAACACTGACGTAACAGAGCAGCCTAAATATTTGTGAAGTTATAGGATCGGAGGCCATTTGTTCTGTATTGATGTACAGTTTTCTTGAAAATGGATAGAAATAAAATGGAAAATTGTGCGCGCAATTGGAACAGTTGTGTCAGGTGATCAGAATGAAATAGATTATGCTACTGCTACTTTGTTTGACGTTTAATTCAAAGGTATTTGATTAGGTTGAAAAACTTATATGAATGTGTTAAGTATATTTACAGACTTAATAGTAACACTGATCAGATCATTAAATCAATATGACATGGCACATTGTTCAGGATGTTTCTTATTAATTAAAATAAGGAAGACAAATTCTATGAAATCTTTATTTAGAAAATCAAAATTATAATGATATTTCAGGAAATTCATTAAAACTAGGCTTTAAATTACTTTAGAATATGACTGGTTGCAGTTACTTTATTCCTACAGATATGTAGTTCTGAATTGACATCACCAGATTGGGTGCTTTCAGTCTGGCACTAGCATCCAAAGGGATTGAAGTGGTTGCTATAGCAACATTGTAAATGTTCTTAGTTCAGATGGGAGAGGCAAGCTTCTTAGTATTGCTTTAATAAACAACTTCTGAGTAAAGATAGAAGCTTTCTAGGCTTGTCTTTTGATTAAAATGGAAAGTATGTATATATTCAAATTTAAGATTGGATTTCAGTTTTGTAGCATAATTTAACTTTATATTTAAATAGTTAAATTTTGTTTATTTAATAACATTGTTTTTAATATGTTAAACAGCTAATATATATATATTTTTAATACTGGTAATATTTTGTATTACACAGTTATACATATCTTTCATACTTTTGTTTGTTAATAACTTTGATTGGATAAAATGTTATTTATGTTTTTGATAAACACCAAAGAAAACTTAAATACTGTCGAGATGTGAAAATATTTTTATTATTTTTGTGTAGTTTTTACATAAACGAGCATTTATCGGATAAAAGATATATGTATGTTCAAGAATTATAACTTAAAGGTTGTGTTAGATTTAAAGATTGATTTTTTTTTATCATGACTGAGAAATGAGACACAGAGATTATTTGTACTGTGATACATGTGTTCCTGATCATACTGTTTGGTTTCATTTTACAGGAAATTTTTAATGTATAGCTAGGAAAAAGGTCTAGTAATTCCAATAAATGTATTTGTGTATTAGCATGCTGATTCAGAAATAGAACATCAAGAAAGTTTTGTGGCAAATTTCATTTTTGAAACTTCATTTCTTGGAAAGCATAGCTCACTATGGGTATGACTATATTTTGTGTTAGATAACTCATGATGCCCACAATTCTTAGGTAACTGAACTGTATTTGTTTAGTTTTTTAAATATGTATAATTGCTTTTTTTAATTACCTGGTGTTTATAATGTTTTAAAAGAGCATTTATGTGCTCTTGAAACATGTTGAATATAAAATGTTTTCTGGTAGTCTGGTCTATGACTTTGTTTTCTTTTATAAACTCTATATGTTGAAAGGGATGAGAGGCTAATTTGGTGTTATATTTACTGTGTAAACTGTGTTGAAGAAAAATATAAGTCTTACTTTCTTGGCATTTTAATGGTTACTGAATAATTGTTGTATGCTGGAAGACAATTTGAATTTGTATATGTACTATTGTTTGTATCATATGGGAATTTATGCTAGCTAGCTTCCTAGGCAATTCATAAGTAGTAAAGAGTGGTTCTATTCTATGTTTTGTTTTTACTTATTATAGTCAGACTGAAGATATTTTACTGTGAAATGCTTGTATTAATTTGCAACATTAAGAACTGTTTTCCTTTGTTACACAGCTTCATTTGGCAGCATTAGCTTCACTGAAAGGAGAAATTTTAGAACTTACTCAGAGAGTACAGCATCTTAGTCAGGAAAGAGATATGCTGGAGAGACAGGTCAACAGAGCTCAGGTATTTCATTACTAAGATAAACAAAGTGTTTGGTACATTAATGGTCATTGTTCTATGGTACTTAGAGAACTTTACAAAGTTATTAACAAGCATGAATCAACAGAATTGAGGTACAGAGTGTGTAACAAAGTACTTTGGTAGAATAATGGTCATTGTTCTATAGTAGTTAGAGAACTTTACAAAGTTATTAACAAGCATGAATCAACAGAATTGAGGTATAGAGTGTGTAACAAAGTACTTTGGTAGAATAATGGTGATTGTTCTATGGTAGTTAAAGAACTTTACAAAGTTATTAACAAGCATGAATCAACAGAATTGAGGTATAGAGTGTGTAACAAAGTACTTTGGTAGAATAATGGTGATTGTTCTATGGTTGTTAGAGAACCTTACAAAGTTATTAACAAGCATGAATCAACAGAATTGAGGTATAGAGTGTGTAACAAAGTACTTTGGTAGAATAATGGTCATTGTTCTATGGTTGTTAGAGAACCTTACAAAGTTATTAACAAGCATGAATCAACAGAATTGAGGTATAGAGTGTGTAACAAAGTACTTTGGTAGAATAATGGCCATTGTTCTATGATACTTAGAGAACGTTACAAAGTTATTAACAAGTGTGTAACAAAGTGTTAGCAGAATAATGGTCATGATTCCAGCTACAGAATTACTAACAAGCATGAACAAAATGAATGAAGACGTAACGTGTGTGTAAGGAACTATGGAAATATAACAAAAATCATAATCAACAGTACTGAGTCAAACAGGTTTTTCCAGTAATGCTGGAATACTTGTTACTGGATTATTCTTTAACATCAGTACTTAGAATTTTAAAAAATACATAAAACATTGTTTTCTTCTGTTTCTCCCTATCATCAATCTATCCAACACAATTGGGCTGGAAGTATCTCTTATTCTTAATTCATTTTCTTTTCATAATCATTGAATTCTTTTTTCTATTGTACTGCAGACTTTTTCTTATTGATTATATTAGTTCTAATGTGAGTTGGAAAGTTATGATGTTGCTTATACCAATGGTTTCATGGACTGTTGCTGCTCCACTGGTAGATTTTGGCCAATCCACAAAATGGTTGAAAAAATGTGTGTTTTAAGATACAGCTATTGAAGTGTATTCTTTTACAATGTAATTTAAGAGTGTTTAAAAAGTTAATATTGTACAATGTGGTCCATGAAATTTTGGGATCAGAAATAACTGGTCCCCAGTTGGAAAAAGGTTGGGAACCACTGATGGATACAAACTCACAGTCATTTTGTTCATGCGTTTATCTCTGCTGTATAGAGTCTAAAGAGTTTTTACTCGTGTTAAGTAGATTGCTCCTGCATTAAATTAGTTTGTTATTTTTCATATTGAATATAATAGAAGTTACTTGTTCAGAATTATGCTTTTTTTATCAGCTCTGAAACCTACTTCAAGAAATACTATATAACATTTTTATATACTTGTAGAACATTTCTGAGTGGTGCAGTTCTCCAAAACCCCAAACATTTATGTTCTTTTGTTTGACAGGAAACTGTTTAGTAGTCACCTTTAGAAGGGTTATGCTAATTTCAAGAACAAACTGTTGTACTCCTACTCTACTGATGAGGGATGGCAGTTAAAAATACTCTGTTAATTCTTGTTAAACAGCGATGAGGCTAGGACCTCTTGTTTAATGTATTAAGATGTTTTTCAGTAACATAATATCTAGACTAAGTAATTACACAAGGAATTCATATTCTTATTATAAGTGAGGTTCTTGACTTTTTTGACTTACTAATGTTGTTGTGAAATATAAATGTTAACATAATTTATTTCTGTAGAAATAATTTTTTTATGGTGAAATACTTGTATACAAGTCATCAAGCTAATTTAATTTCATAAATTGGATAATTCAATAGTTAAAATTTGATTGGGAGTTGATTAAATGAAAGGTTGCTCAGGTTAGTTATGAAGGATTAGTGAATTTTATTATAGAAGGTATTGATTTATTGTTTAATTTATTGTTGATGCTTGATAAAGTGATTTTTGTTTTCATTACCAGAATGTACAAATAAATAGTTTTAATATTTGATAATTAAATCTTGGTAAAATTATTGTTGTTGAATCTACATGTAGGTAATGCTTGATAGTTTCATATTTTACTTCCATTACTTTTTGATAGGTTCTGGTTCTGTTTGATATCATTAAAAGTTATTATAGTTTTAAAGACTTTAGTGATATTTCAGCTAGTAGATTTGTTACAACACAAATTATCTAATCAGTTAAAGATTTGGGCGTATAGCTGGAAGCATGATCTTTCATTCCAATGGTTTATTAAAATGGAACTTATAGAATTCTAAATTTTGTTAATTGGTTTTAGTTTTAAATTAGAGAACTTGGGTATTACCACTATATTGCTGAAATGTCATAAAATCAAGTTTTTTTTAGCCAAATACAAAAAAGGATTTGCATAATAGTTAATCCAAACAGAAAAAACATTAAAAAGCATATTAGAGTCTTTTAATTTAAATATCCTAAAAACTAAGAGTGATCCAAACATCTAGCTTCAATTGATTTAAGATAACAGGCACCAATAATAAAAGTATTTATAGCAGAAGTGCTTCTTGGACAATAAAACAGATTGCAGTAAATAAAGGAATAAGATCTTTCACTAGAAAGAAGTAACAAATTCAGATCAGGATTGAAAATTCTGATACTCTTAGCAACACAGATAAACTGGTAGACATAGGCCTGGTAAATAGTGTAAAGACTACTTTCCTTGAATTTGTTGGCTTTTTTAACTTGTAAGTTAAAATTTTATTATTGATTATCTATTTATATTTCACTGCTAAGGTTTTGTTGCCATTTGTTACTGGCTAAACAGTTTCTGAATTTTATCTTTCTGTGCTTTAGCTTGACAGACTGAGACTGGCAAGAGATCATGAAGAAAGACTTGACCATCAAGCTCAGAGGTACGAGGAAAGGCTGACAGAACTTCACAGCATCATTGCTGAACTCTCTAAGAAGTTGGACATACAGCGAGCAACAGTCATTAAGTAAGGAGAAAATGGCTCTTTTCTTGTTACGTGATGATATTGGTACATGTAACTGCGATAGTATGAGAGAGTGCAAACTTTGATTCTGTTATTTATTTTGCACAGTTCTTTTTCTATACTTTTTGTTTCTTCATAACAAGATTATTATTTTTTACTGTAGTTACTTTTTTCTGGGTTACAATCTTATTTGTTAAGATTGAAAGCTCTTAATATAATCTGAAGAAGTATAAACTTAGACTCAGTGAGAGTCTGGAGCTTTATTACCAGACAAATGATCTAATCAATTAAACCTCTGAAACACATGACCACATACAAACTCTCTTTAATGCATATAGGTGTAGAATATCACACATTGTGTGACTATTTGGTGAGCTAAGATCGTTCGTCTAAAAGTTCTGATTTATGAAATCATTCTGGCCATGATTGTCTGGTATTTTAGTATCTATGGGCATTAATACCTTGTCAAATAGGTAACTTATCATTGACCAAAAAAATATATGTATCATTTTTGTAGAATTGATAGAAACTTTTGAAACTGGCATTCAAAATGTGAAATATTTAAGTTTAATGCTGTTTTTTGTATATGTTTTGAATTAAAGGTGAGTAGGATTATATCATTGTTTTTCATGTAATACATTTATTTTACTGATATCCTAAGTAAATTAAAGAAGTAAAATATTCTTGAAAAAGACAGAAGTTCAACTGGGTTTGTTACATAAAAGTTGAACAGGCTTACAATTTGTTTGTGTTTTGTGAAATATAATTTTGTATTGAGATGATATTTTTTTCATTTTCCTTTTTTTGTTTTTTACCTGTTTATTAGTCATACTTGGTTTTCATTCATAACCCAGTGCTGTTAGATTTAGGTCTGAATGATTTTAACATTGTTTTTGATACTTCAAAGTGGCTAACTCAGCCAGTCATCCTTCTGTGCATTAGTATGCTGATAAGATTTGATTTTATGCAAGTTGTTTGTTCAACCTATTTTACTTGACATCAGGAATTTTAAAGTTTTTCTTTGTGTAATAATTTTAAATTGTATTCTCTATCTTTGTTTCCAAATTCCAATAAAATTTATTTCTGTCCAACATTTCAAATTATTGCCCATTTATTCATTTGTGGAAGAAGATTAAAGAAAAATTTATTCTTCTTTCTGTTATCTGTGTTTCTGTTGGAGTCAACAGCTTCCAGATGGAATACAGATGTTATCATGAGCCTATTTTATTTTTTCTGGCTTTCAGCTTGATTGGGTTTACAACCCACTTGGAGTTTTAAAAGCCATTAGTCTTTTGCAATTTCCTTCTGTCTTAGAAAAAAAAATATTCTAATGGTCTTCAGGTTTCTGCATTGGACATTTCAGGTTCTGTAATGGAACCTATACAGTAAGGACTTTTGGTGATCTGCTTTTAAAGATTCACCTTAAACTTGAGTGTACTCTGATATTACATCATAGATCTCTTGATTCTGCTACTCTTTTGGTGTTTCCTCCAGTTTTCTAAATTTTAGACCACAGTATTGAGGTTTTTAAATATGTTGCTTTGTATTTTTACTATCTTTTACTGTAGACCCTCAAACTTGTGATTTTTTTACAACTTTGTGGACTGTAATGATAGTATTAGTGTTCTATTTCTTTTATTTTTATCAGAAGCTCTCTCCCTCTGTTTGGACATACACAACATTTAATGTTTTAGAGTTTTCAAAGATAAGTGGGTATTAGAAGTCTTTACATAAGGGCTTAAACCATTCTTCAAACATTTTACATAATGGAAGCTCTCTCTTTGTTTTTTTCCAGACAACAAAGAGAAGAATTAAGTTTTACTTCTTGACGTCTCAGTGCAAAGGTTTGGTGTAGCTGGTGTTTAACTTACTCTTACATTCTCATGGTTTCAAGAATTACAGGATATTGGCTTTATTTAATATCTGAATTGTTCCAGAAGTTAATTACTGTCTAGTTTGAATTCTTTCTTTCATCAAACTTTCATTCATTTTCTGGTCAGAAGATTTCTTAACTTTACCTTCTTGACAATCATTATTCTTTTTTGAACCAAATTTTTTATAATCTTCTTATATTTTCATATGAACTGTCAAACCTCTAAACTCTAGAACTGTTGTTGTGATGTTTGAAACATCTGTTCATAAACTATTTATTTCATAAATTACTTCATAAATTTGTTAATTACAGAGTTTTTAATAACATATGAATAATAAAAAAAACTAAACAAGAGTACATATACCATCAATATTTCAATTAATTCTGCTATTTAATAATGGGATTTTTAGTGATTCTATCCAATTTTTCTAGCCATTAACTTATACTGAATGTTGTAACAGGCAAACATAATATCACTTAACATGATGAAGTATTTGGATCCACCAGTACAGAATGATAAACAAATCAGTACTTCAAGGGTTAAGGTTTTTGACATGCTATGAATATTTAATTAATCAATATTTGTGCTATTTTCAGTGAAACAATGACCAATAATTATATCCCATAGTAATTGGCCTAAGATGAAGATATGTATACATACAAATTATTCAGTAATTTTTCTCACATTGATAAATTATTGGTATTCAGTATAAATGTATTATTGTGTATGTGTGCATGAAAACTATGAATACTTGTGCATTGTATAAAAATATCATAAATATAAATTATATTTTACAAAGAAAATGGTAAATGAAAAGAGAAGTAAAAAGTAAACATATCAAATTAAAATTATCTCTCATTTTTAAATTTTAGGAAGTTTTTTACTTGTTTTTTTTGTTGCAACAACCCATTTGAGGTGTAAAGATTACTGGTGGTTTCTTCAACTTCTGCACATAATCTTTCCAGAATTTCTGTGTTGTCGTGCATCACCTTTTGAACTGATACTTTTTTTACTTTTGTCTCATATCACTTCCTTGGTCAGTATTGCTTTTTAGCTGTTCACATTATTAAAGTTTTTTATTGAAATGTCCACCATAATATGAGAATTAAGTTTTATTAAGTTATACTTACCTTGGATGTTGACTCAGGGTTCAAGATGACATTTTTGAGTTTTTATTTCAGTAACTGAGATGTATTGAACTAAAGAAGAATGATGATTCAATATTGATATGATATTTAAACTTTCATAATAAGGTGTAAACTCTAACTTGTTATTTGTAACATAGTATGAGAGGGCATAACTTAATGGTTACATACATATAGTTTGTTATTGTTTATATTAAAACTTCACTGTGTAGAATCAAGGCTGTTAGAACATACATACTCTATTGGCTGTTAGAACACATGTACTGTATTGGCTGTTAGAACACACACATACTCTATTGGCTGTTAGAACACATGTACTGTATTGGCTGTTAGAACACATGTACTGTATTGGCTGTTAGAACACCTGTACTGTATTGGCTGTTAGAACACACACATACTCTATTGGCTGTTAGAACACACACACATACTCTATTGGCTGTTAGAACACATGTACTGTATTGGCTGTTAGAACACACACACATACTCTATTGGCTGTTAGAACACATGTACTGTATTGGCTGTTAGAACACATGTACTGTATTGGCTGTTAGAATATGCAAACTGTATTGAATATTTCTAGTGTTTGTATAGTTTCTCACTTAGTTGAGCACTGTATGTAAAACTATTTGTTATATGTTGCTATTTTCATTTCAAAATAAGACTAGCCTTCACCCCATACAAGGTACTTAAGGAATATATTCATAAGCGTGTTAGTTTCATTCTCATTTTGTGCTTTGCAAAAAAGCTATTCAGCTAAGAAATTAAAAATCATCTGTCTTAACTAAGATTGGTTAAGAAAAGTTAGGTCAGACATATATTTTTAAGGAGGAATATGTAATGATTATACATTAAAATCTTATTTCAAATAAACTTGTCTTATAATTGGTCCCCTTACATGCTAAGTCTCTCCTTCTCTTATTACCTCCTTAGGGAGGAAGATGAATTCAGTCAGCAGTCTGAAGATGAATCGAAACACAGTGAAACACAAAGTCAAGGTACAAGCAATGCTGAAGTTTACAGTGAGAAAGGTGAGTTGTTGAGGTTTTATAATAAATGAAATATTACCTGTGTAATAAACAGGTGAATATATTTTATCTATAAATATCACACATATTTATTCAGTGAGAAACTATTGTTTATAATGTTGAAATGGTTACTTGTATATTGTATGTAGAAAGTATTTATATGAAATTATTTAAAGAGACAGACTTAAAATTAAAGTTGAGAACACCTACGGTCTTGTTATGTTGAAATAATTATTTGTGCCATTAGCAGTAGAAAACATTGATGTTTTAGTGTTCAAATGAGCAAATTCTATGTTTAGTGATGCAAATGGTTTGATTGTTAATTTCATTTATTCAGTGGATGAAATTTCTGAATTGATGCCGAAACTTCTTAAAGTCAAATAAATGAGGAACAATTTTCAGCTTCAATGTTTGTACTAAAAACCTTCTGATATTTTAATAAAAACAGAATGATTTAGATGTAAAAGTACTCATGAGAAAAAGTTGTATGTTCTGATAAATTTTTTATTATTAAAGAAAATGAATCAAATACTGAACAGCTAAGGTTTCCTGAAGAAGAAGAAGATTCTGTTAAAGTCATTAAAAGTCATTACCATGAGAAGGATGAAGTCAGCAGTGGGCTGGGAGATAATGAAAGTTTTGAAGACAGAACATACCAAGTAAGGATATTTGTCAGAAGACTTTCTGAGCTTCGATCAGAAACGTTGGGTTTCACATCTTTAGTGTACACTTAATGTTTTGAAATTTTTCTTGACTGAAACTTAGACTTTAGGATATTAATGATAAAAGAATTATTTCAAAAATCAGTTGAGCTAAAGTTCTAAACCTGTTAAAAAATTTCAAAGTAACAGTTAACTTTGCTTATAGATGTGAATTTGAAAATCTTTGAAATGTAAGTGTGTGTGAAAATTTAATAAACTTTGCATAATTCTGTCATTTCACCTTGTTAACATTTTCTTAATTTAACTGACAAAAATGTCATATGTTTAATCTTTTTTCGAACTTTCACCGTGTACTAAACAAGTGACCTGTTTAATGTGTGTGTTAAAATCATCATAAAACATACTTCTGTTGCACACAAATGAAAAACTTGAAACAGTCCTCAGTTATCTCAGTGCATTAGTTTGTTACACCCTGTTGTTTTGTTATTTTCATATCATTGAACCATTTCAAGCCTTGAAAGATTTAAGTAAGGGATTTATGGACATAAATGTTTAATCTACCCTATATAAAAGCAAGTGTGTCACATCACACATAATTTCTCAAAATAGGAGAAGTCATAAAAGCCAAAATGCATTTATACAGATAGAATAGTTCAATTACTATCTGCCCATTTTAGTGATGTGGGTGCAAGGGGGCCGTGAGGGTGTGTGTGTGTGTGTGTGTGCCATGAAACCTTATAAGTATAGTGATTGTTTGTATAATAAGCCTAAAGTAAAGATGTAGTGTGGGATCACCTAGCCTAGAGCCAAGTACATAAAGTCTATTATGAAAGTAAAAATAGCAATTCAGTTTTAAACTTAAATCATTTCTGAATTCAGTTATTTTCTGTTATATCACCAATATTTTTAATAGAAAGAAACCTCTTTAATCAACAGACACTTTAAATAAAGAAATC